CGACCTGCGACCTGTGACCTGTGACGTGACAGGGCAGCCTGACGACCCACGACCTGTGACCTGTGACGTGACAGGGCAGCCTGAAGACCCTCGGTGATGGGGAACTGGCCCCTGGAAGTTGTCCTCTGGCCTTCACACATACACCTTACCACGGACTCCAGTAATAATAAACAATGTTTTAAAAATTCACAAAAACAGGCCAGGCAGTGGTAGTGCATGCCTTTAATCCCAGCACCACCGAGGAAGAAGCAGGCAGATCTCTGTGGGTTTGAGCCCAGCCTGGTCTACAGAATGGGTTCCAGGGCAGCCAGGGTTACTCAGAGAAACCCCATCTCAAAACACCAAAAACCAAAACAAAACAAATTTTAAAAAAAACTCACAAAAATATAAAACAAACAAACAAAAACCAGCTTAGGCCCCTTTAAGGCAGTGGTTCTCAGCCTTCCCAATGCCGAGACCCTGTAACACAGTTCCTCGTGTTCCTCTAAGGCAGTGGTTCTCAGCCTTCCTAATGCCGAGACCCTGTAACACAGTTCCTCGTGTTGTGCTGACCCCCAACCATATTATTTTGTTGCTACTTCCTAACTGTAAATTTGCTACTGTTATGAATCATAATGTAAATGTCTGATATGCAGGCTATCTAGTATGTGACCCCTTCCAAAGGGTCATTCAACTCCCCAAAGGAGTCCAGACCCACAGGCTGAGAACCGCTGCCCTAGGAGCTTAGGCCCTGTGCTCAGGTGATCAAAGACACATGGGTGAGCACCTCTGAGGAGCACTCACCAGGAAAGACTGAGGGAGCCAGCAGGGTCTTCCTGTGTCAGACCTCACCAAACTGGCTTGCTTAAAATCCAAGCACTTAACTGTGTTGTTTTTGTTTTTTGTTTTAAACAGAGTTTCTCTGTGTAGCCCAGACTGGTCTTCAACTTTGTATGTAGACAAAGATCATCCTGCACCCACCTCGGAAGCCTTGGGATTGCAGGGCACATTACCACATCCCGTTTACATGGTGCCGGGAATGGAGCCCAGGACTGTGTCTGCTAGGCAAGCTCTCTGTCAACTGCCCTCAATCCCTCATTTGTTTGTTTCTTAGTTTTGAAGGAGTTTTCTAGCCCAGGCTGGTCTTAAGCTCACAGCAATCCTCCTGCCTCAGCTTCTGAAGTGCTGGGATGGCAGGGTGAACCACACCATACCTGGTTTGTACATCATATCTCAAATAAGTGCAGAGAGGATAGACCCTGCGCTGGCCTCTCAGTGGGGCTATCCTGGGCTGGTCTCTCAGTGGGGCTATCCTGGGCTAGCCTCTCAGTGGGACTATCCTGGGCTGGTTGGTCTCTCAGTGGGACTATCCTGGGCTTGTCTCTCAGTGGAACTATCCTGGGCTTGTCTCTCAGTGGGACTATCCTGGGCTAGCCTCTCAGTGGGACTATCCTGGACTGGCCTCTCAGTGGGACTATCCTGGGCTTGTCTCTCAGTGAGACTATTCTGGGCTTGTCTCTCAGTGGGACTATTCTGGGCTTGTCTCTCAGTGGGACGGTGCTTGCCTTTTGTGTGCATGGCCCTTGGTGTGATCATTACCACCTCCAAAAATAAACAAACAAATAAATAAAGTGACTGGAGAGACTACTGGGTCAGCAAAATGCTCACTGTGCACACACAAAAGGTCTAGTTCAGTCCTGAGCACTCATGTAAAAAGTCAGATGTGTGTCCTTAATTTCAGCACCATAGGAAGAAAGCAAGACAGGGGGAACCCTAGGGCTAGTTGGTCAGCCAGCCCAGCTTAACCCACAAGGCCCAGGACTCAATGAGAGACCCTGTCTCAGAAAAGTAAGTTACAAAGAGCAAGCGAGATGGCTCAGGGGATAAACATTCTTGCCACTAAGCCTGGGTTCAATTCCGGCACCCACACAGTGGAAGGAGAGAACAGACTCCCACAAGTTATCCTCGGAACTCCACATGCATGATGGCTTCTGTGCACCTACACACCCACACCTCAATAATGTGAAAAATACGGAGGCCGCACTCTTGGGGACTGACACTTAGGTTTGACCTCTGGCTTCCATACACACGGGCTCATACATGTATGTATAGTCGCACATGCACACACATAACAGAAGCTAAAAACAAGTCACCGCATGTTTCTATGAAGGCATAGGCTGGAAAGGGCAAGGGAGGGCTGGGGAGGGCAGGGGAGGGTTAGGGAGGACTAGAGAGGGCTGGAGAGAGCAGGGGATGGCTGGGGTGGGTAGGGAAGGGTTGAGGAGAACAGGGGAGGGCAGGAGAGAGCTGAAGGGGGCTGGGGAGGGCAGGGGAGGGTTAGGGAGGACTGGAGAGGGCTGGAGAGAGTAGGGGATGGCTAGGGGGGTAGGGAAGGGTTGAGGAGAACAGGGGAAGGCAGGAGAGAGCTGAAGGAGGCTTGGGAAGGTAGGGGAGAGCAGGGGGTGCTGGGGAGAGCTGGAGAGGACTGGGCAGGGCAGGGGGTTGGGGAAGGAAAGGCAGGGGGGCTAGGAGAGGGGAAGACAGGGGACTGGGGAGGACTGGAGAAGGGCATAGATGCTCAGACACTGACTGGCTGCCAATGAGTGATGCACAGAGGTGTAGCATCCCCGAACACAACATTCGC